GCTTTTGTACGCTTGTAAACAATATAATGAGCTGTCACTGGAATAATTTTAATAGCTGTCGGACGAGTGGCTTAGAAATGACAGCAGTCTGAAATTGGTTGCAGTTTTTTCATCTCACCCTGTGTATATATATTTTGCTAAATGTCTGATATATTGGCATCAATATAATGGTCAGAAGTGTCTTTTTCGTGAATTTTTGTCGGAATTAAAAATATTCACGGTTCAGTGGACACCTTGTTATTTTTCACACAAAAGTGGTGGTATATTTAACCTCATGCCCTGTCTTGAACTCTTTCCCCATTTAAAATTGGTCTATTATTCTGACCTGTAAAGCAACTTCTTAATACTTTTGGATCATCTCCCAAACAATAGACTTCTATTCTGACCCTAATCCTAATTCCATGCTAAATTTCGTCTCCATATCGGTCCATAGTTGAATCTTGTGGGGTGATTACAAACTAACATGGACAGTCGAACGGATGGACATACGAGTACATAGCTAGATCGTCGATAGAGGAAGATCGATATGTAACATCGTTGTTCTAGGACAAACATTTCGGGGTGATAAAAACTATTCGATCCACTCAAACTTATAATACCCCCAACACATAGTGTTGTGGGACATAAGAATCTATGCCTAGGACTCCATTGGAGAATTAAATATATTTCCAAAAAAAAAAAAAAAAAACAATTCTGGCGTTTGTCTCGAAATGAATCACTGTTCAAACTACCAATACTTTTTTAGCTAAAGAAATTCAATAAAATATCCCAAGCCTATGAAGAACTATTTTTTGGCAAGAAAAATGGGAAAAACAGAAACAAACAAAACGTATGCATGTCAAAAACCGCAAATAAAAATATTTCGATCGACATATTTTTTATGGTAATCATAGAGAGACCTGCTTTTTCCTCCCCCTTCCCAATTCAAATCGTTCCATCGTGGAATGGTGTTTGCGTTCTCATTGTGTTCAATATTTCATTGAAATTATACATGAAATATCAGGTTGGAAGTCACTTGCTCCGGCAAGGGTAACAAATATTCAGTCAATCATTCCTTTCGTTATCCACCACCAAACCATTGAATATTTTCATTCAAAACCGTCCATTATCGTTTGACGAAACATAATTGAAGACAGAAAGTCAGTCAAGTCAGCGTGGAGTTAAGGTGTTCTCATTTTTTTGGCCTAGGCCAACAAAACCTCCAAGAGTTACTCGGTGCCAAAAACTTCTGCCAAAAAAAAAAAAAAAATAGGAAACGTTTGGGGGTCTGATGAACACCATCGTCGTCTGACTTCTGGTAATTGTAGGCCGTTTCAAACAGATTTTCTTGAAATGTTTGTTTGTTCGTTCGGTTGCCTGTTAATGTTGTTTGTATAACAAGCTATGAGACAACAACAATAATATCAACAACAACATGCAATAACCTATCAATATGGTAATAGAAAAGTAATAAATTGAATACTAAAAATAAATTTAAATTGTGGTAAAACATGATGTTGCCTGACTGAATGACTGGCTGGCAGACTGACGAAGCGTATGGAGGATGGTGGCGCTGCTGATGGTGGTTACCAAAAGTCGTTCAGTTTGTTTTCTTACGAAGCTTGTTTCGCTAAAGCCAACTGGTGTTCCACTCATAAAAACCAGGCAACATGAAAATGTATCTGTTTTCCTTTGGTATTTTGTGGGGAGGGGAAATCCCCCTCTCTCACAATGTAAATATTAAGATTTATGTTAAATTTAATTAGAGTCATTATTATTTATTGACAATCAAAACTATTAAACATAATGAAAATGATCTACCGAAATTGCCGGTTAACATGAATTACAACAGCCACCGCGGCGGTGCACCACCACTGGCTGGATGGCTGACACCAGCTCCATCTCAATGTGAACCAAAAAAAGCGACACAAATTCCTGCTGTGCGAACTGAGGAGAAATGAAGACATAAATTCCAATATTTGTTGTGATTTTTTTATTCTTATTTTGAATTTTGGATGAGAAATGTCAGTTTTTTTTGGTGTTGGGAAAATAAAAAACGTTTCTGAGAGGAGCAGAGAAAATCGAATGGATTTTAATGGCGATTTTAACGTGAAATTTTAAAAATAATTTTTTTTTCTGAATTTTTCCAAAAAGGACTATTAGACCTAATTTCGTGATTTCTCTTGAGACTGTACTTTGAAAGAATTTTGTAAATATTTCTAAAAGACCAACAACAGCATTTTCGCTGATCTTAGACTGTTTTTGAAGGACATACAAATCAATACTGGGTGACTTAAACAATAGTTTATAAAGACCAACGAATTAACAATCGTGATTTTTTTAAGATTTTAAAAATTTAGAACAAATTCCGTGGATTTTTTCAGAATATTCTTCGAAGCTGAAACCACCTAATAATCGTGGATTTAAAATCGAAGGACTTATAGACCAATGCTCGAAGACTTTTTCAGAAATTTTTTCCAAGGTCTAACAGATCAATATTGGGAATATTTTTCAAGGGCCCAAACATACATGTGTGTGTATTTTTTTTTTTTGTTTTTTGAATATTTTATGAATTTTTATCATATCAATACTCGGTGATGGCTTGAGAATATTTTTCTATGGGCTTTTCTTTTCCTTTTTTCTAAGGGAATTTTTTTATGAACATTTTTTACATCTATTCATGACTGTACTTTAAAGGATTTTTATAAATATTTTTTAAAGAACCAACAGATTCATTTTCATGGATTTTTTGGATTGTTTTTTGAGGACCTACGAATTCTTAATAATATTGTACACTCATATTTTTTTGGGTACCAAGAAGCCATAAATTTCGTAGATTTTTTCGGAATATTCTTTTAAGGGCAAAACTCCTAATATTTCATATTAAATAAATTATTTTTTTTTTAGAAAAAGACTAAATTTCGAATATTTTTGGGTAAACCTCCTAAAATCCACGATATTAAATTAAAGGGTAAACTTCCTAAAATCCACGATATTAAATAAAAATTTACAGGCCAATACTTGTAGATTTTCAGATTTTTTTTTTTAAAGCCTAATGGACCATTGCTCGCGAACATTTTAAGAATAATTTTTAACGACCAATGATTGTGGATTTCTTAAATGAATTTTTAAAGGAAAATCATGCTCATTTCCGTGTGATAGAAAAATATTTTTTTTTCAAAGGACTTATAGACAAATATTTGATATTTTTCCAAGGACTTATCGACAAATATTCGGAGATTTTTTTAACATAATTTTTCAAGGACCTAACGGTCTTCGCTATTTTTAGGAAGGACTGTTTAAGAATATATTTCGTAGCATGAAAATACTTGTGAATTTTTAAAGAAAAATTTTCAAAGGACTAACGGGCCCATACTAAGTGTTTAAAAAAACATATTTTTCAAGGACTAACTTCAAGGACTTACTATTTCGAAGGACAATCACCAATGCTCGTCGATTTTTAAGGAATATTTTTTGAGGACAGAGAATATATTTTTCGAAGCATTTATAGAGCAATACTTGGTGGCTTTTTAAAAATATTTTTCGGAGGATTACCAGTGGATATTTAAGATTACTTTATTTAACAGTATATTCTCTAAGAACATTTTTCAAAGGACTAACGTTACCATACTTGGGAATAAAAAATATTTTTTAAGAACAAACGGTAAATATCGACTGGTTTCGAAGGACTTTCAGCCCAATACTTGTCGATTTTTAAGGAATATTTTTCAAAGGATTAACAGTATATTCTATTAAAACATTTTTTCAAATATTTGTCAAGAACAGACGATATTTAAGAACATTTTATTTTATATTTTTTGAAGAAATGACAGAAGTGGATTTATTACAATAGTTTTTAAAAAAACTATCCGACTAACATTTGTGGATTTTTTAAGAATTTCTATCAGAACTATATTTCATAGAACCTTTTTTCAGAAACAAGAAACCAAGAGACGTGGATTTTTTAAGAAGGACTATCAGAGCTACAAACTTTATAATTTCTGATTTTTGAGTTTTCCTCGTTAAGGAGAAGATCATGTGTTTTAAATTATGTGTTTATTTCTCTTTCCAGACGAGCTTAATAATCTGAAATTTGCAGTGAAAAGGAAAGCCACATAGTTTTTCAAGGACCACCTAAGCTATAGACGTGAATTTTTTAAAGAATATTTTTTAAATACCACTAGAGCTAAACGTGGATTTCTTAAAAAATGTTTTTTCAAGGATCACTAGAGCTATAAAAGGGGAATATTTTTTAAACATTTTTTAAGGACAACAAGGGCCATAAACATGGATTTTTTTTTAAAAATATTTTTCAAGGACCACAAGAACCATAAAGGTTGATTTTTTAAAAAATATTTTTTCAAGGACCACAAGGGTCATAAATGTGGATTTTTTAAAGAATATTTTTTCAAGGCCACTAGTGCTATAAACGTGGATCTTTTAAATAATATTTTTCAAGGGCTTTCTGAGACCTAAGCCTGGATTTTTTTAAAGAATATTTTTCAAGGTCTATCGGAGCTATAAACTTGGATTTTTTAAAGAATATTTTTCAAGGTCTATCAGAGCTATAAAATTGGATTTTTTAAAGAACATTTTTTCAAAGACTTTGAGAGTAGCAAACGTGGACTTTCAGAGTAGAATCGTTTGAAGAATATTTTTTCGAGGACTACATGAGCTATAAACGTGTATATTTAAATAATATTTTTTCAAGAACCACAAGAGATATAAACTTTGATTTTTTTATTCACCGTTTATTCACCTAAAGCGGAAGGAAACATTAAAGAGCAATTTTCAGATTTTAAAGTTTGAATAAAAAATATGTTTTAGTAGCTTTACCATATCACCTTGTATATACACCTTGCACCTGTCCATTTAGTGTTTTTCACATAGACATTGATTTTAAAATAATTTTAAAATTGAAATTTCATTTTAAATTTTTTACTTTTACTTCTTGTCAACTGAAAAACTATTCTCCGACCAAAATTCCAAAATAAAACATCAATTGTGATTCCGCAATTAATTTTTTTGATTTGCGATTTTAAATCTTCCTTGAAACTATCATTAAGTTATCCAAATTATTCGCAAATATCCAAACAAGTTCTCAAAATGACCAGGATAGTGGAAGGTCAAAAGCCCGTAAACAAAGATAAAGTTCAGGTCACTGTCAATACCACTCAGCTGGAAGACAACGACGAAATGGTGCGGTGTTGGCATCGACAATTTTCCAATTTGGCCGAACATCTGCAGCAATGGATCGAGAAGAATAGTCAACCGAAACGTTATAACTTCCCACGGCCCTGTATACGGCGAGAGCCATGTCGTTGGGCAAAACGTGGCCCTATGGCTAGAAAGGACTGGGTAAGATTTTACAATTGGGCAGCAAAGAATGCCACACCCAAGCCACCCTATCAACCCAAAATTCGTACCAAAGATAAGGAGAAGGAAAAGAAGACAGAACCCAAAGAACCCATACCACTGGAAGAGCTAATGGAACATGCCGAAAAGTTAGCCTCACCACGTATGCGACGTCAGAAATATGAATATCCCATACCACCAGATTATCCCTACGCACCCCAGATACACCCGAAAAAACCGGCGAAAAAGGATCGTGGTCGTCCATTCAAGACACCGGAAGTACCGCCCGATTTTCAGCACATCGAATTGGAAATAGATTTTTGGTCTCAGCTGCGGTTTCCCACACGTTCATCTACAGCTTTGTACAATCCAACGGAAAATATTTTAAAATTGGCCCAGCCCAAAGTCATACCTCCCCTCAAACAACATTGTCCCATACCTGAGAAGCCGGTGGAATATGTAGCCCCCAGACGTCGCATGACATATCGTCAATGGCGGGAACATAAGAGGCGCTTGGAATATTTGGCAAAACCCATTTATCGTCCTGTCACCGATTATTATTATTTTTAGTGTGCATTTTGTTTTGTTTTTATTTTTATTTTCTTGTAAGTAAAAAAAATAATATTGACTTGTTGAAAAAAAAAATTAAACAATGATCAATTTAGAATTAAGAAGGTAACCTTGAGCTAGAAAAATATACCAATGTTAAAATATGTATTTTACAAACCCAATTCAGAGAGGGGGGATATGTTGTTTATGCAGTTGAATTTGACAAGGTAAAATAACATTAAATGCGATGCTGGATACACATATTGAAAATGAGGCTACCTTCTTAATTCTACCATGAGACAAATTTGTGAATGAAAATAGGTGATTTTTACTTAACTATTTTTTATAGAAAATATAAATCTCTGGCTTGGTGTCGGAGGGCTAGCAGAGCTAAAATCTTGTCTTCTATTTCATTGATTGCTAAGTTAAAAAGTCGAGGTTTTTTTATAAGAAATTCCCAGTTTTTTGAAAAGATTTTGAAGGCCGGGCAAGGACTCGATTTTTAAAAGACTTCCTCCATGATCGTTCCGATCAAAAGTTGTGAATTTTGCAATGACATCGTAAATGTATTGGCCATTTAGGGCACAATTAACTTGAAATCGTATAATGATACATATGTATAATGATCCAAATCTGAACCGATCTCGATAAAATTTGACATATATATTTCTGAGATGTATCTGATATATGTCCCTGAATATCGTTGTTACGGAGTGCATATTACGGCTGTGGGGAACAAATATAACAAATTGGATGAACAATATATATGACAGCTATATCTATATCTGAACCGATCTTCACGAAATTTGACGTACTAGCTTCTAAACTAAATTCCGTCGTAAGTGCCAAATTCCATCCCATTTGTTATAATAAAATGCAAATCGTACGAAGTTATATATGGGAGCTATATCCAAATCTGTCCCGATCTGAATAAAATTTAACAAAGGTATTTCAGAGCTGCTTTTGATATATTTCCCCAAATATTGTTGTTACAGAGTGCATATTACGGCTGCGGAGGACAAAAATAAAAAATCGGTTGAACAATATATATGGGAGCTATAGCTATATCTGAACCGATTTTGATCAAATTTGGCATAATTTTTTTAAGGCCTAATTTGATTGGATATATAGAGAGAGAGCCCTGCCCAGATGTTACCCTTAGCTATTTGATCGACGGCATTTGTCCAATATTTACGCACTCCGTCGTGTTGTTAGGTATTCAAAACAATTTCACACGAAAATTGTGGTCCATTTTACAACTAAATATAATTCAATGGCCATCCAATATGTTAGACTTCCTTAACTCTCTTCTCATGCAAAATTCCGTGTCGAATGGTTTTTATCGTGTAGAAAATACATACATATATTTTTTATACCCTCCACCATACACAGTATGGAGGGTATATTAAGTTCGTCATTCCGTTTGTAACTCATCGAAATAATAATTTTAGACCCAACAAAGTATATATATTCTTTATCAGCATAAAATTCTAAGAAGGCAGGTCAAGTTCGAAGATGGGCTATATCGGTCCACGATATCGTATTGCACCCATATAACGGTACCACCCTATATTCGGTATTTTGATGATTTTAGCCACATTTTTCAAAGGAATTGTTTGAAATTCTACACATGGAGATCTTTGTGAGTACTATACCCCCAGACATAGATTTGTCTATATACAATATCATAAATCCCCCCCCCCATATATCGGCATCTTCCGATATTCGGTATTTTTAAGATTTTAAAAGAATTTTGAATGGATTTTATGTTTTTCAAAATTTCCTAATTTTAGAGGTCTATTGGTTCTTGAAAAAAATATTTTTTAAAAAATCCACGTTTGGAGGTCTCTTGGTTCTTGAAAAAATATTCTTTAAAACATCCACGTTTGGGGGTCCTTTGGTTCTTGAAAAAATATTCTTTAAAACATCCACGTTTGGGGGTCCTTTGGTTCTTGAAAAAATATTCTTTAAAACATCCACGTTTGGGGGTCCTTTGGTTCTTGAAAAATATTCTTTAAAAAATCCACATTTGGAGGTCCTTCGGTTCCTGAAAAAAATTTATTTTAAAAAAATTCACGTTTGAGGTCCCTTGGTTCTTGAAAAAATATTCTTTAAAAAATCCACATTTGGAGGTACTTCGGTTCTTGGAAAAAATTTTATTTTGAAAAATCCACGTTTGAGGTCCCTTGGTTCTTGAAAAAATATTTTGATAATTTTAGCCACATTTTTCAATGGAATTGTCTGAAATTCTACACATGGAGATCTTTGTGAGTACTTTACCCCCAGACATAGATTTGTCTATATTGTAGGTCCACAATATCATATATCCTAATATATATCGGCATCTTCCGATATTCGGTATTTTTAAGATTTTAAAAGAATTTTGAATGGATTTTATGTTTTTCAAAATTTCCTAATTCGTTCCAGATGGTGGAGGGCATTCACAGTTCTGTGTTTGTTTATTAATTTATTTAATATTTTTTTTTTTGTAAAAGGTAAAAATGTTCCTATTATTCTTTCCAAACACGAACTGCTGGAATAAATCTACAATTTTATGGTGGACTTTACGCCAACGAAATAGCCGGTGCTTGCTAGTTTTGCTACATATCCGATATTTCGGCTATCAGCATTAATGTATCGGTCAGAAGTGACCTTTAAGTGTAAGTGGTAATTTTGAAATCATCAAAAATACCCGTGGTTTAATGGAATTTATAGGTATTTGTTTTTACACACACGTTATGATCAATTTCACCCTTTAAATATTATCCGATTACCATTCAATTTGGTTGGCTACTGCCCTGTCTTATACTCTTACGCTATGCCTAGTTCTGCGTCGATCGGTCAATAATTGTAATTTCCGGTTTTTGGTCCATTAGCGAGCATTTTTAAAAAACAATGGACTTCTATTCTGATCCTCACACCAACTCAGTGAAAAATGTCGTAAAAACCAAGTTGGAGGCTCTCAAATCCGTAAGTCCAGAGACCTTCGGATATACTCTGTAAAAATTATTGCTCTGTTCGGACTTTAAAAATTAATAAATTAAAATCAACGGATAACGGTCTGGTTCTTAATGGTCCTTTAACATCTACGATTTTTTCACTTTTGGTCCTTGAAGAAATATCCGTCATTTTTTTTTTTTTTTTTGCCTATTCGTCCTTTAAATAATAGTCTTCAATTCTTCCATTACCAAAGAGTGTCAAACATTTGTCACCAAAAAAAATAATTTAACTAAAAAGTCACCAACATCTGCTTCAAATCGTTTTGCTTTTTAAAAATAGAAATCCGTTTTGTTTCCGAATCTGGCGTTAAATATAATTTACATTTTATTTGGATATTTCCCGCTGAATGTTCATTTGCTGCAGTTGTTAGTTGGTGGTTTCTTCTGCTCATCTTGTTTTGGTTGATTTTGTGGCATTTTTGGAGTGGCTGCGTTTGGTTAAGTGGAAGTGTTGTTATTTGAGACGGCTGATAATGTGTCAATTTCACACGTGTTATACTTTGGGGAATTTTTTGGTGTTTTTTTTGTTTTTGTTATTCATTTTAAGGATGTGGATTTTTTGGGCAATTGATTTTTTGAAGTTAAAAAATAATGTGTAGGCAAGGAAAAAAGGATATGCAGCAGGCGGGACACATCTGCCACAAATTTTTTGGGGCTATCGATTTTTTAGAAGGGAAATGTATAAAAAGTGGCTGCAATATGTCTTGGGCTATGGGGGTGGTAGGGGGGATTGTTGGTGTATTGAAGTGTGTCACTTTTTAGATGGGGCATGTGTGTTGGTTTCAATAAGGATACACTTTTTTTGGTGTGATTTAATGCAGTGGGTGAAAGGTGACAAGGAGTGCGTCGATGTTACTCCAGATTTTGAGGCAACAAGGAGAATTCATTTCCTATTTGCGTTTAAAATAAATGTAATATCTGAATACAGAACTCTATAATTTAATTGCATCATTAGATTTTTCAGTATTTAAAAACATTAAGGTTTATTAAGCAAAAAAAAACTTGTTAACAATTCAACAAAATGCGATACAAATTAAAATAAAAATTAAAAAAACAACAAAAATGCACTCAATCTTGAATTTCATTTTCGATTTCTTGGGTCTTGAAAGAGATTCCTGTTAAAAAAGGTCTAAAAAATTTTTCAAAATTTTACTGGCCAACATAGCTTTGATATTTTATTATCTCTATAGATTCTTGAACCAATTCTTTGGGTATCTTGAGAATAATTGACGTTTCGATTTCGCAACACAGACTATAAAAACAAATAAGAAAACATAATTAGGACAAAAACCAGCAAAATTAAGTAATGTCAAAACTACGGTTCAAAGCTACAAATCATTAACAGATATCAGATTACTAATTGCAAATTCTACACAAAATATACAAAAAAATTAAAACTACATTTGTTTTTTTTTTTTTTTTTTTTTTTTTTTTTTAATAAATGCATGTGTGACAAGTTCTGAAACAGATATATTTCAGATTTAACATTTGTCCACTCAGAACAGATCTCAGAGTATTAATTACAAAACTTTGTAGAAATATTTTTGTGTTTTAATAAACTACCAAATTTTAAAGCAACGAAAAAAAACGTAGATATGGTACTTGTTAACAAATAGTTTTGCTAATAATTAACAAAATTTTGAGACAACTCCCAAATGTAAACACACATACACCAATGCATACAATGCACCCAAAGTGCTACACATACCCAATAGGAAAAATTTGAGGCGTATTTAAAAATATTTAAAGAAAATAATTTTAAAATAATTTTATTGGCTCTGTTCATCCTTGCAAAAAAATATTCTTTTAAAAAATCTACATCTGCTTGGTCCTTATTTTTGTAAATAAAATTAAATTAAAAAATTAAAAATCTACGTTTGGAGGTCTTTTGGTCCTAGAAAAAAATATTAAAAACCAGTAAAAAAAGTCTTAAAGGGCGGGACCGACTTTATGATACCCTACACCACTTTGCTAATTTAGTAGAGTTCCACATAAAAATTAAAAGTTTTTATGGGAGAATTCAATCATACACGCTATGATTA